GGAGGAGAGTTTGCAAACAACTTGAATTGACAATTTTATTTGATTTTGAAAGAATTTGAAAAATCAAGTAATTCATGAACTGTACAAAGGTGCACTACTGCATAGGAGCATATGACACAGGGCGCCACATGTCGCGAATTCAAATTAGCAAAATGCAACAACAACAACAAAACCTAAAACTGGTCATGAAAGTAACTAAGAACTTTGTAATGATGGAGGATAATTTTGCTTGCAAGAAGTAAACTGACATAACTTTTCATAATATTTTATTCCTCAGATGTGATGAAGCTGAAAAAGATGCCAACGAGAATGGCTGGCAGAGCAAGAGAAAAGAAAGGGGAGGCCTTTATTTCCAGATATGCTGGTGGGATGTGCTTTGACTTTCACTCCAGAGATTCAAACATGTGAGCCCTTTGTGTAGAGATTTATTTCATGTCTTGTTGGATTAGAAACCCTGTGTATCTGTTGAAAGTACTGAGCTAAAGATTATGTAGGTTTTTTTTCCTAGACTCTCTTGCTTTTAGTGGGTGGTTGGCGGGTGCTATGGTGTGGTTTGCTCCTTCTTTCCTATCAAACATCTATCATCTCTATCTCCCCTCCTTCTTTTTTGTGTTTGTTACTCTCTTGTAACACCTCTGATCTTCGACACTTATATGACCTTATTGTGTAGCATATACCATAAAACTCTTACTAAAAGTAAACTCTCTTGCTTTCAGAGAAGTCATGCCTTGTCGAAAAATATTGTACTGCTTCACTTTGTATTGAGACTTGATATTGTTGAAGTTTTTACTCTCTTGTCTCCAGTAGTTTGAGTCAGCCTCCTCCTTTTATCTTTTCTTTTTTTTTTTTCTCTTTTGTGTGTATGGCTCTCTGGAGTTGTCTACTCTTTCTTCCTCAAGGTTTCTGCAATGTTCTTGAGCCAAGCTCCTAACCCTTCCTGCCCCAGCCATTTTTTGGCACTCCCTAACCCCAGTCCCAGCCAATACAGCAGTATTTCAGAAAAAGAGGCATGCTTTTTAAAAAGTGATATAGTATCTTTGTAATGAGGTTTAGATAATAACATAACAGTGTTTAAAGGTAAAAGGACAAATATTATGAAAATTAAAATTTAATTAGGTTCGTGACATTTCGAAAAATACACAAATTCAAAACTGAGAATATACACTCTTGGGACGGTGGGAGGTACAAGCGCTGCTGAAAACATACGTGCATAGGGCTGGAAGGGTTAAGGATGATTCATTATGTGTAGGTATATTATATGCATATGGACACGTGTGTTGTTATTTCTGTGTATATACGTACAGAAGTATAGTTCCGTCCTGTTTATTCCTGCACAATTTTTCTCTTTCAGCTATCTTGCAGGGACGGAGGAAGGATACATTCACAAATGTTCCTGTTCTCACAATGAGCAGTATTTGGAGAGCTACCACGGACATACTGTAAGTACAGGGTAATAGTCACTTTCTATTATA